AACTAAAAGCTCATGTTCATCCCTAGGGCAGCATACTGCTCGGTGACCTTGAAAAAAGAGTGCTGGCACTGCGTCCTTCACTGAGGCGGTCCTACTGGGTGTTTTGCTCTTAGTCGCTGCCCGAGTCTCAGTAAACCCCAAGATTTGCAACTGCTCATCCAAGATTGGTGCATGGCATGCATGGCCTTGCAGAGAGCACGACGGTGGCAGTGATGACCAATGAATGGACTGAACCCAAAGACAACTTTGGAGTGGCTAGTCAATAGAATTATGTAGGATGATGTAGGTCAGTGAGGGTTAAACACGCCAATAGCATGCGATTGTAGATTTTGTATAGTATATATAATCAGAAAATCTGCTGAATGTTTCATGTTCATCTCCTTTCACCTGTTGTGTGTGCAGGCGGCCTTGTTGATGTGCATCCACTTGGCTTGGTCCGTCAAGAACTCAGTGGGACCAAACGATGCCTTGACGGAAGACGTCGGAAGACTGCGAGGACCACATATGGGTTTGGGGCGAGCTCCACCAAACCAAGAGGATAGTTCACATGTAACACACAAAGCTCAACACCTTGGGCAGAACTACAAAGGAGCAGTATTATATTGCAGTATGATAGGTGCCAAATCGTGCAAGTTGATACGTTAACACGAATAGAGGGTATTTCATCAGTTAACCAAAAACTCCGTGAACAAGTGCTTTCTGACAACAGGGGGATCCGGCCCACTATACCACAGGGGTGCCTGACATTTCTGCAACGGATGACATCCTGCCACGGAAAACGGATTGTTATATACTCCCTAGAAATCCCATACCTTCTCAGAAGGTATTTTCCAGCCTCCTAGCGCCTACACAGTAGGTGTTTTCCTCGCCCTCTCAGAAGGTGGTCCCTGATAATAAGTGGACTAATAATATTGTACTGTATATATATATATCATATGATATAATATACTACCCAGATGCTTCTGGACCTTCGATGGATGCCACCTTTTTGACTTGAAGTCTTTCAATCTTTCCAGACATTTCCAGACACAGAGTCGGAGGGCCTCTGAGGGGCTTGGATTGGAGCACCACAAATGCACCAAACTGTCTTGGGAGGAAACTGTCATGGCGGTCATGGCTATTTCGAGGGCGAAGACCCTCGACCACACAGACATGTTATGTCATGTTTATCCCAAACACTCCATGTATGCCATATATGCCTACATTGACCCCCCAAACGACCCCAATGTAGGGCATATATGGCATACATGGAGTGTTCGGGTATGTTGAACGAAATGGATTTGGACTCGTCTACGTCAACCTGCAGTCCAGTCCACCCCCTCAGTCCGCGAGGCTTTCGCTGCGGACATCGCTGCCTTCTACCAGGAAGCCGCCGCCAACGCACCAGGTGCGGGTTTGCGGGCCGGAAGGTTTGCGGTCAGAAATGGTCAGAATTTCTCGTGAGCAGCTCCCAGTGTGGATGGTTTTGGTGATATTTCAGGGTAAATCAGTATGTTGGATCCTGATTAGTAAAGGGGGCCCCCCCCTACTGAGGGAGCCTTTACTAATCGAGATCCAACAAGACTCATCAGACGTGACCAGACCGGGGGGTATCGACCAGACCAGATGGGGGTGGTGTTCATCACGGAAAGAACTGGGTGGAAGGTGGTTGAGCCATTGGTTTAGCTCGTAGACTTGAGCAAGCAGAAGCAGATACTGGTATGAGTTGGGTCTGTCCTACAGTAAACAATTACAATTTAATCAATTATCACTACTTTTGGAACGAGGCCTTTTCTAACCATCATCCACTGTTACTATCAATAGGACAGACCTATGAGCTGGAAGACAGCCAGGCCAAGCCACTTGGATGTTTGTTCATATCTTATCCCGGCTGTCTATGACGGCATGTGTCCACTGTTCTACTGGTCTATGAACTGAAGGATCCACTGGTCTATGACGGCCTATGTGGCTTTAGAGTGGTTTCCGCCCCTTACAACCGGCCGATGAGCTGAATTGCTGCTGATCTGGAACCTACACTCACATTCCATTGGTTGGGGTGTAAAGCATCTTGAAACGAAGATGTATTGAACGCCCAGCTGATTCTGGTGAGTACGGTGATATTTTGCTCGTGATACTTATCAATCCCAAAGTATGTTGTTGACAAATATGGTCAATATCAAATCCAACCTCACTGTAGATCTTCAGTAGGTAACAAACGGATCTGATATTGTCAGCGTAGTAACGCAGCAGTACATTGACAGTACATTGACATGTTGGAGTAAGAACATGAGTATAACATGCGCGTGTTTGAACATATTGAAAGCAAAGTTTCCGGATGCTTTCTGTGGCTCAGGAAGGCTAGGAAAAGTTATTTTTATATGTCCCAGACGCTCCATGTGTTGAATTTTTACTGTGCTTACCTGACCCCAGGAACAACCCCAATGTTGGCAAATATGCCTCACATGGAGTGTTTGGTTATAAGTAAACCTAGTTTCAACCTACAAAAACATGGCTCAAGTTTGTCGTGCCTCCTGACAAATTGGACAATGCCGCACTGGTCAGGCGACATCTCCACAGGCAAGAATCTGGTCTGGGAGGGAATCACTGTGCAAGGCTCATTCATGGAAAGCCACCAGCCTGAATTGGCAAGCAATTTGCCTTCGGTTTAGAGACATTCCACGGGCGCCTTCTTAGGTTCGATATGACTGGACCCCAAAACAACTCGTCCATCATCAAAGTGGATACATACCTAGAACCAGCATGAGTGACCTTTATGTTGGATCACCAACCACCAAAAATATGTGTTTTTGTGTGTGTGTGTGCGTTGTTCATTGTTTTTCCGTGTCAAAGCAGGGGGCATGTCTGGGCTTTAAGGGATAGGTATAAGTTGCAGGTCACCAGCATACGACCTTTCTGGGAGGAGTTCTTTTCTCCAGGGATCGAAACAGCACAGGCGGCCGGCACAAGGTCACCCAACCGCAGTGCAAGTTGCATCGTTGGCACTCAACATTCACAGCAGGAAAGATCAGAAAAGCATCTCCTGTGTAGGTTTCCTCGCGCTTGTTTCCATTTCGAGAATGAGAGAGGGGCATTGGATCAAAGATATTCTGGGTTTCAAGCCAAAGCCTTCAAGCTCAAGGCTCAAGCACTACCCTCGAATACCCTTTTTCATCCTTTTTCCAGCTACAGGCCAAGAAACCCAAAAAACATTAAAGAACTGTAGAACCATTCAGAACTAATTATCACTGATAGACTGTAACAGAAACCAGGGCACAAACACCCAACCCCCTTCAGAAAGAATCACACCCCAGGGAGGGGAGAAGACACATTGACCAGATGCCGCAGGTGCCACGGAGCAGAAGACACATTGACCGCAACCGGAGCGGCACGAAGCTCTTCGTGCCGCTCCGGGCAGACGATGCAGGTGGGGATGGGTCCGATGTTTAAGTCCGTAACATCACCTAACCAGGATGGCAGTGGATCACCTGACAGGATTGTCCTTTCCCCAGTTGACAGATGGAGCAGGTGGGAACAGTTATAACCATTATTGAATGATTGTCCAGGGAAACTGAGGGAGTCGGTGAAAACGGTGGATCAGAAGACTTAAGTTTACAAAAAGCTATAGAACAGTTCACAAAGCACCAAATGACGAGTTCCTCTCATGAGTTGCTTGGTATTCTCTTCAAGCCCACAGTGCATCACCCAGACACTCCATGACACTGGCATATTTGCCCATCAGTCCATCAGTTGGGGTGGTTGACCTGGGGTCAATGTAGGAAATTGTTCAGTCGGTCCAACGGAGCATGCCGTTCTTCCATGTCACTCACATGGACAGGTGGACCTGGAGCTCGACCTGGAAGTGGCCCAAAGCACGGCCCGTTGACGCGAAGAAAAGGTGTGAAGGGATATGAAGGGTGTCAAGAAGCGAGGGCGGGTTGGTTTGCCAGAGGTTTTTAATATGTGTATTTTACAAGAAATCTTCAGTCAAGCCTTCGGAATCTTGTTTTGAAGCGGTTTCTTCCGCTTGCATCCGCAAAGGGATCCAAAAGGCTCCACTGTTCTCGGCCTCCCAAAACAAGGTCTTCTATCTCAGGCGTTCGATCGGTTTGGGCGATGGCGATGTGGTTCGGGCGTTCCTTCGATCTGTCTGGTCTTCAGGATCACCTTCGACAGGGACCAGGCATGCCATGGACCCCTCCGGTGGCAGGAAGGAGGTCTCAGGATGAAACACACGGAGGGTCTCTCCTGTGGGATAGTTCATAGCCTGCGAGACAATACTGATGCAATTTGCTATCGACTGTGTTTTCCTGATTTTCCCATACAATAAACCTGTGGGAATGGTCAAGGGCAAGAAACATCCCTTCTATATAGTGCGTAAATGGGCCCTACAAATCCACCCAAAGCATCCCCGCTATCACCAATCACCTTCTTTGGGAGATGGATCCATTTTGTTCCAGTGGTTTTCCAAAGGACACAAGTAGAGTTCCCACCAAACTGGTGCCGCTTTTCCGCGTGGAATTGCATGTCGTGAGCACTGCCTTCAGCTGGCTTCATGACTCTTTTTTAATGGTGTGGGTTGTTTCTGAGACGCGTAGGTTTGCATTTGCAGGTGAACGGTGAAACCTTAAGGCTCTGACATGTTGAATCTATACAAGGCAACATTCTGGGCAAGATCCACTACTGCCACTGTTGAAATACAGGCTTAAACAAGCTAAGCAAAGTGTCAGAGGTTGACAAGATCAGTGATTTGAGCTATAAGTTTAGAATTGTTTATATACAAGTTTTAGGAGTACGAGTTCAACAAAAGCATCAACACCAGGAGTTACAAAGGGCTGCTAATTGTCTCCAAGTGAGTGGATGTTTTGTTTGTATATATACGCAACCCTATACTCCATTCGAACTGCTAGCCGTTCCAAAATCCGATCCCAAATCCACCCATCCCTATATATGATACCTTATGTAGCTTATGTATAGATATGATATTTCCAATAAGACTTATGTTTATATTAATTAGGTCAATGACTAATTTTATCCGATGGCCCCGGTCTCATGGCGAGCAGCGCAGAGTCCCCGGATGGGCATGCCATCCCTCGTCTGGTGCACCAGACTGCGCCCACTGAGCGCTCGCGAAGCCTGGTGGGATGGGCACATCCCAAAGACTCGGTGTATCGTATATTTGTGTTTCCCACTAGTATTTTAGTAGTGAAACATGTGGATTTACATGCAAAACCAACAAAAAGGATTACGGGCCAGTTGAGTTGTTCACTGTGTGCCCACATAAGGGGTGATTGAAAAAGGGGTTGATGTAGGCATATGATGGCAGTAGTTGGACCAAACGAAACACACAATTGGTCCAGTTCACGGCAATGCGGCCTAGTCGAAGTGCCAAGAGGCTAATGCTGCTATGTTGAAATTAGACCTTAAAAGTTAATGTATGATCGAACCAGAAGTCTTCAACAAGAAAACTTGAACAAATCACAACACTTTGTCATGTTTTTCCTTCGGCATGAAAGAAGACCCATGCCAGGAGTTCCATCCTCGGGGTGGTTTGGTTCGTCCCATCCAGGGCTCGTGGATGTGACAGGGAATCAGCGCCCCACTCTATACCCTTCAATCAGCACCCAAGTCCATTTTGCACTGCCTTTTCTTGCTTAACTGTGTATTTTGTGTTTGCCCTATGGGTAAATCTCCTCATGGGGAATTAACTGATATGCTGTCCCAGGTTCCTGGACAGCAAATCCAAGTGATGGTCACCGGAGCGGCCGGGTTTGTCCCATGGCTGGCGGAGTGGAAACGGCCAAAGGAAGGAACATCGAGCTGGATATCCCTGCAGCATAGATGGATCACCCTGATAACCCTTTCATTTGTGGTATCATCTTAGGCTTTATATTTCCCTCAACGACCGTGTGTGGAGTGGTGTTTATTTCGTACGTTTGTCCGTTCGTGCCATAGGAATCCGTGTGGTTGGAATGCACCGTCCAACTCTGCGGTCATGGTCCCAGTTCGGCTCCGCACGCAGTGCACATAGTCAAAGCACGATGAATGGGGGATAGACGGAGAAAAAACACATGATCAAGGCCAATGATCATATGGTAATATGGTAGGATAGCTATGGCTTATAGAGAGGCCCTTTTCTAGACAAGCTCTGTGTTTAGACAACGAGTGGTTTCCACCCGAGTGGTTCCAGCACATACAGTAGCGTGACAAGAGTAGCACCTGCAGTTCCTCACGGTGACAGGGTTGGAAGGGTAGCACCATTGTGACTATTATTGACACATCTTGGGGTCCTAGTGGAGTGTCCCTGAGTGATAGTGGGATTATCACTTATATATATATGTATATCCCTAGGGATCCAAGTACCTTCTCAGAAGGTACGACTGGACCCTCCAAAGCTACACGACAGTACCTCCAATCACCTTCTCAGAGGGTATGTGGATCCCTCGGGTATATATACACAGACCGTTTCATTGACTCGGCTCCCCCCTACCGGACCAGTGCATGCACAGGCCCCATGTAGTTCAAAGCACCTCAAAGATCTCGAAGACACGCATGAGTGTGACACTCCTTGAAAGAATTGTGGAACGGGAGTTCACCACCTGTTTGGTATGAGGATTTCAGGGTCATCCACTATCCGCTGAGGATGGGACCCTCGCTGGGAGCATTGTCAGAAGACATGGAGCCTCGACGGGCACTCTCAGTCTGGAGGAGGTGCGATGGATGTTTTGACACTGTGATCAAGGAAATTCGGAGCCATAATGATTAGGACCCATGGTGCCCAAAGTTTTTTTCTTGGATCTTGGAATCTTGGGATGCGGGTCTCATGCATGAGAGACCTTTTGACCTGCAGATGGTCCCCTTGGACAATTCAAGGTTCATGACATCTACGACGGATACGTCGTATTACGTTTCTACGAGATGCTTTTCAATGGGCTCGCAAAAGTATTCATTTCAGGTCCATTGGTGGAATGTGGTGAAATCTACTGTATAGCTGTTATATCACTGGGGTGTTTAAGGGGGGTGCATTTGCCGTAGGAAGATGACAGAGAAGATTCGGGGAAACCTGCTTCGCCAAGCACCTTTTCTCCAGAGGATAGTCATCACTGCTCCATCAGGATGCGCGTGTGCGCCAGCTGTCGCTACATCTTGTGGGATGACGATGCCTTGAGAGAGCTCGTGTGACCTGGTGCGATTCCGAAGATGACCTGAGCAGATCGGGCAGTCCGCCCATATTGAGGGATGACTGTGCAGCGGATGACCTGAGTAGATGACATCACCCCCAAGGCCCCAAGAGGATTTTAGGACAGTTGTGTATTTTTTGTGTGTGTGATTCACATCTTCTTTGAAGCACAAAAGCCCCTCAGCAGAACAATTTCATCCTGTCAAACTCAGGGAAGAACAGGCGTCTACATGTGGCAGCTGGATCTCGCACAAAGCGCACTCAATAGGTAGCTGGAACCTGCCAATGGATGATTATAACACAGCTTTTTGAGCTGGCCTTGCTGGCAATGACAATGTATCAAAAGAACTTGTATTATTAGTGGGTAGGTCTCCTCTACATGACTTTTCCTCCTCTACATGATGTTGTTTATAAACAATTGTCATTTACTTGGTTACACGGACACTTCATCCAAGATTCCAAGACTGTGCGTTACATGGCTTCATCGTGGCTGGGTGCGCCGTGGAACTCCTGGTGTACTCCATGGAACTCATACGGTGTATCCGAGTCCATGCAACCTGAGGATGGTTTTCCGGTGAGGTTTGTACTTTCTAAAGAACGGTCTGGCGAATGAATGGCGCCATGACGTGAGGGACGCTCCCCTTCGGAATGTCCTTAACTAGGCTTTAAGGGTTTCCGAATGGGAGTCGAGTCTTGCAAACTCTGCAAGGGTACCTGCTGTCAACGATACAGCAAAAACGATGTAGGAAAGGCTGGTAGCATGTCGATGTTTGCCAACTTTGAATGCAGACACCCTCAACGGTGACGTTCGAAAGAACACCTGATATATTGTCATATTCTGTTAGATTTGTAGAGCAATCTGAGAAGCCCTGATCAATCAACTATCTACACCAATTGGAAGCAGCCGTGTGCTTGATTTCTGTTCATATGACTCCCATTAAAGAAAACATGCACCTGTTGAAGCAGCCCGTCCGAAGCCCAGGCGAGAAGCGTTTCCTGAGGAGCTGGATGTTTATGACCAGTATGAAGAACACATCCAACGAGTGGATTTTGCACGGGCCGCCATGCTCTACCTGCATGGAGGCTCTACCTACCTCGCGTACCTCGCGTGAAGGAGGATGCGATCCGCAGAGATGTCCGGCAGTGGCAGTGTGAGGTTTCCGCGTTGTGGTTGGTCAATCACCAAGACGAACTGCTCATATTTCTGCAAAGTTCATGGGCGGTGCCCAGATCTTCTACCTATAAAGAATCCTATATGTTCACAGTTCTATCTATAGCTATAGTCATCCCGGAGTGGATAGAATATGGGAAGCTTCAACACACAATAGGAACCAGATCATGTTTGTGGATTGCTTTATATTCTATCTACTCGTGGCGGATGATTCATTTGTTGGGTGAGAAAATTGGACAGGTGCCTCAGGACCTCAAGCTTCAGCAAGCTGATTTTGCAATTTTTAGGTTGATGTTCCCCAGAATCACCCATGGAACCGGCCCTACTGTAACTTCTGCATGGACCTACCCGGACCTACCCATATATACCTGACTCCAGATTCTTCATGGAACTCACCCCAGATTCTGGCCCCGGATGCTCCATGGAATCCTGGAACTGGCATATTCACGTATTGGGGGTGGTTCAATAGGGTCGTAGAGGCATGCCTAGTCCAGTCCCATGGAGTGTTTCCCTTCACAAAGTCTCAGCCCTGCTGTTGACGTGCACACCATAAACAAGGATGTGCTTAGCTTCAGTGACAACATATTGTCGTTGAAGTTGAAGCCCTACTAATGTAGACTCTTGATTAAGAACCCTGCCACTTGGATGGTAAACCATCTTGATATGGGTTTAAGAGTCTACTTTAGACCTTAGGCCTTACAGGGGGGCTTTAGAACTGCGCGCTCTTCGTCCGGGTGAGCGTCGCCGCTGTCAGCGATGTTTGTGCAGGTCTCTACGCGGACATGGACATAGAACTCTTCCAGGACCGGGTCGAAGCTGCGTCCTCCACAAAAGCTCTCAGAGTATTTGACTTAAATCTACACCTTACTTGCTCCTGTCTCAGCGGCGCGGCGTGCGCCAGTCAGATTGTCAGTCCACATATGTTACATATTGTTATGTTCTTTTTGCAGCTTGAATTTGTGACAAAGCATGCGTGTCTCAGTCAGAGATGGTTGTGAACGTCACTTGAACCTGCCGCTTTGCTTTGATCTATTTCTTTTGTTGCAGGACTTGATCTTGTATCGTTCACCCTCCATAGATCAGTGCGACACACGCTGCGCTAGGACCCCTTCCCCCACCTGCCCGCTGGGCGGGTGAGCCTGGTGGCTTCTCCTTATGTGGAGAGCGAGCGGCATCAGAACTCACTGATGGCCTCAGCACCAAGGCTCAACGGTTCGGAGATGGAGAGAAACAGTTCGGTGAAGGTCTCGTGGTTTTGCTGAGGGTTTGTTTTTCTTGATTCCACTTGTGTATTGATCGCCCGCACAGCTGCGGGGGGGGGGAGTTACTGTTGTGTCTTGACTTGTCCCGTCCCAGGTTCCTTGTGCAAATCCAAGTCTTTCTTCAACAGCATGTCTAAAAAGAGCACTGGACATGCCGCACACATCACCGGACCGATCAGTTGAGGGGAACGAGAACGAACGAGAACGAACGAGTCGTCATCCAGCGCTCTCCCGCGATCGATTGGGGAGAGGGATCGTTCGATCCGGTTTGCATATTTCGGCCTCATTCCCAAGTGCCGGGCACACTACTCGCTTTTTTCTCGCGGTGGATTTGCTCCTTCACCGCTTTTTTTTTGCGTGTCTTTTTCTGCCCATGGCCCATGTCACGTGGTGTCCATGTTTGTCACTTGGTGATGTTCGTCTCCCGGTCGCAGGCATCCATTTTGGCTGGCCTTTGTACAAGAAGCTCGCCGACGCTTTCAGAATCGAAGCGCCTACAGGCACAGCACCCAGCCACGTTCGCATTCGATACGCGGGTGGACGCCGCCGCCGGCCGTGTCGGCCGAAAAGACAGCAAATGACAGCAAAAAAGAGCAAGCTGCAAGGGGCAATGGACATGTTGTTGAGGGTGGATTTGAAAGAAACATATGGAGATGTAAAAACATTCTGTTTGGGGGGGTATTATTCATCAATAAGCTCAATCAACTACGTTAACTGACTCTTTTTGATAGATTTTGTGGCTGTTGATCATATACGAACTCTGGAAAACCGAAAACCCGTATGTGAGGTGCATATTCTTGCCGTACCAATTTGTACCAGCGGTGTGAGCAAACACAAGCTAATTCCTGTCCGTGTTCCGGAATTATCAGGAAACAACTTATTATGCAAAGACACGGCCTGTCATCAACAAGTGGGCTATATACATAGTTTCAATATAGAACCACGTATAATAGAAGAGGGAGAGAGAGTCATCCTGGAGTAGATAGAATATGAAAACTCCAAAAACAATACAGAAAGGAGCGCTCTGAGCGGCGCGTTTTTGCATGGTTTCATTTTGTTTGTATTTTGTTTTTATATTTGTATTGTGTTTCTATTGATTTTTGTGCCACTGAAAGAATCCTATTCTGCCTCAACCCCCCCTCCCCCAAAGGCAATTTCCAAAATTCCAATTTTCCAAAATTACAACAAAGTTGTAGGGGTAGCATAGGTTGTTGTAGCAAATCTATTAGGTTGTTCTTGATTGATCTTATTACAGCACTTGCAAGGCTATGTCCAACCAAACGGGTTATTTCTGGTGACTTTTCCAATTCTTCTATAACATGTTTGTATTTCTCACTGTGATGAACATTTCTAGTAGGTACTAATAACAGATCATCCATAATATCCCTTGTTAAAGATCCATCACGACCACTTGGTTTTGTAAAATCCACTTGGTGATGAATAGGCATTCCATAAGCCCCTGCGGTCTTCTATCTTCTCCTTGTTTGCTACATTTTTTTTTCTTCAGCATATAGTGTTCTATGTTGTTTAAAGTGATCATTTAAGTTTCTTGTAAAGTCATTAATTCTATCATTCGTGTTTTTGGATTGGTTTAGATGTATATATTATACTCCAGGACGGTTGTATCTATTTATTAATCTATTTATCTATCTATCTATCTACCTATCTTTATGTTTGTCTATTTAATCGAATCGAATTGAATCTCTCTATATCTCTATATATATACATCTCTATGTGTTATCTATATATGTATCTATATCTATATCTATCCTATCTATCTATCGATCTATCTATCTATCTACCTACTTCTCTCTATCTCTATTTTTTTCTATTTATTTATCTAATCATCAAGACTTCGACCCATACTTAATGTATCTCCGACCCAAGCTGGGACAACTGCACACCCCAAGCCGTTGTTTTGTGAAGTTGCAGTCCATCCAAACATGTCTAGATGTGTTCAAGCAGATAAGATGACATAATGCATCCAGTTTGCCACCTGTACAGACACTAGACTGTAAGCTGAAACACACGCCTTATTTTTGAGCCATCAACTATACATCTCTCTCCCCATGTTTCGTGCAACTCTCACAGTGTCTGAGAGGGTGATGTGATCGACACGACACTGGGAAAGGCGCCGTCGGGTCGGGTCCAGTCGTGCGGATCCGAAGGTATGTGGATCCGAAGGTACTTTGGAGGGTCCAACTACCCTTGTTTTTGGTTCGGTGTTAGGTGTAAGTGCCCAGTACAATGCTGCTTGAAGGTATTTGGATCCTTAGGGCTTGGCATTCATCACTCCCTTTTCACTCCAGGACTACGTGGCAACTCACTGGACCTCAGATGCTGGACGCACTGGTTGAAAAGACGTCGTCCTCGTGGCTGCACGTGCTGCCTGCGGAGCTCTTCAACCAGGTACCCTGGCCCAGTTTACCTGGTTCAGCGGACGAGTCTAGGCTCATCTTAGCTGAATTGAATGGTGTTGTAACGTCGTTGCCTCTTTGCCAGAAAATGCCCGAAATGGTTGGGACTTGAAACCAAGTGTTGTGAAGGGGCTTTTGAAACAAGGGTTCAATGAAACTGGCACTGTTTGCTGAGCTGGAGGCGAATTTCTTACCCAACTCCTTTCCAGGAGTGGTAAAGTCAACCTATACCAAATGAATCAAATCGGTTCAAATCTAATTGACTGGGATGCCTTGAGTGTGCATCAACAGGATTACTTTTCCCCATGCCTGCAACCGGTAGTCCAAAGGACCTTTATTTAGGTCTGTGGACCACATAAACATCCGCAACCAAAATATACATCCGCTGAAAAAGAACACCGTTCGGGAAAAAAGATGCCTGTGGCTCACCAATAAACGCCCTTAGCTTGTGTATAAAACGCCTGTGGAATATTAAAAAAAAACACAGAAAACTAGAAAAAAACATCCGCAGACTCACATAGAAGGCTGTGACTCCAAAAGATGCTTTTCACGCCGCAGATCGAACAAAACAAATACACTCTGAGGAAATTCCAGGTAAATATATATAATATATAATTAATACCATATCATATTTAATACCATGTACCCGGTGCCCGAGTGAGTGATCTCCATTTCAGACCACCAACCACCCAAAAGATGGTCTATTCCTCTAAAATAAGCAGGAGGTGGTGTTTTGGTTCTAGGTATATACATATATATAATGGCATGTAATGGCCTCCACCCTAGTAGCTATGGCCTCCACCTAAGAACGATGGCCTCCACCCTAGTAGCTTCTTGCTACTAGTCACCGAAGCGTTTGATCTATGTTTGATCTGAAAAGGCCCTCCCCCACGCCGTGGACCCCCACGATCAACACCCAGGCGATGCGGTCGCCGGGCTTTCGATCTCCCAAGATCATCGCGCGGCACTTCTGCACGAGCGTTCCTTGGCTTTCTGGGGGGGGTGGACAGGGAGGAAGGGTGAGAGGAAGAGAGGAATGGATAGAATGATACGAAGGAATGATACGAAGTGAATTTCAATTCCGTCACCAGTTAACCCCAGTTGCGGAAACAGACCTGATGTTCTTGTTTACAGATTTACAGTACCCAGTTTTGGCAGGCACATCTTTGTTCTTCCCGTTTCCGGGGTGGTCATTTTTCATGGCATGGGGAAGATGCTTTAATCCCAGAGGCTCTTGGACCCTCAAACTGCTATGTTTTAGGTCCAAAACCACCTATGTAGTTGTGAGGGTCAAAACCCTAACTGTGAGGGTCCAATGAGCTTTTGGGATGGAAGTATAGCGGATTCTTGACTGTGTGTAGGAGACGGATGCAAGCTACAAGAGAGCTGGGGTTCCATTTCATAGGTATTGCCCAATCACACACCTGGGCCAAATTGTTGCTCACTGCATTTCATTGCTATCCCTATGTCCCTATGGATTAAACAGAATCCGATCGAGGGGGATGTGTTCGACACCTTGTACCTGAGAAGGTGGCAGTGGATCCCGAGGAGGGTATTCACTGGCCCAGACACACCATGGGAATAGAATATGACGCCCCACACCATCCCAACTGATCGGCGGCAGTCCCAGACAGGTCGTGTTTGAGTGGTGAGAAGAAAGCAGATGCACCATGAATCACCATGATATGTACCTGCAAGTCATTTGAGTACCGATTTCCATCGCTTGGACTTGCTGGGTAATTTCTTTTCATCCCAGGCTTGGTTAAAGGGAAAACTCTACAGGACATCCATAGTTTGGGCGAAAAACTGTGAACAGCTATGAATTTCCTGTAGAGTCTTCCCTTTAACCAAGTCTGGGTAGTCTTGATCTCCCTGGGGATCTCGGTTTGCGCTCGGGCACGGGGCACTCTGTGTGTCTAGGTGTGGACCCATGAGATGCACACAGAGAGCATGCGCCTTCATCAAGCAGCACGTGCCTGGGCCTGATCTGTGGAGTGACTGTGAATGTGATTGGTTTGGTGTGGAGTATATTTCAATACTGCCTGGAATCAAACCTTACTGGAACAGAACCTAACTATCAGGTTGTTTGGGGGTATCTTTTTGGGGCTTACTCTCCCGACGGCATTCTGAGGCCCCGCAGACTGATCAGAGAGGTTATATACTCAACTCCGCTCTGTAGATGCCAGTAACACATGCAACGTCAAGGTTCGGTCAGGTCTGGAATTTTTGGTGTTGTGTGAAAGCTCCTGGCCCACCTCACAAGGTAGGGACAGACCCCCAAGACCACCCACCTCAACCACCGAACCGAAACGGAGGTAGGTGGAGCTCTAGGGTTGATCAACTTTCCAAAGCACATTCATGGCCTAAAGTTACATGGAACCCTCCGATGTTCCCGCCATTGGGCTCAGAACTCTCGGCTGCCGGCTTCGGCAACTTCAGCTTTGGACGTCCAGGACGTGTTTGAATGACTTGGAACCGATGCCCATGGCTGGCCAGCTGGCCGACACCCAGGGTGGGTGGACCCTTCCTGGAACCGGCGCTCGCGGGGATTGTTTTGGTTCGCGGTCTGAGGATCAGGCGATTTGGACCAGGCGAGGTTCCGGGGATGAGAACCGCTCGCTGTGGCCAGACTGAACCGCTCGGGATTGGGTAGAGCCGTCGAAGATCGATTCGCTCGATGAGGTGGATTTCTGTGGGGTGCCGACGTGGCGGTGGCCCTGGGGCTGGCCCTTGAGAGTCCAACGATGTCCAGACCATGTATGGAACCACAGATTTCCTGGAAAAGGTGATGGGCATGCTTCGTTTCTGTGGACATGGAGGGTCCAACTAAGATTGACATGTGAATCTCTTGATGGCAGAGGCGAACGGAGAGGAGGGAGCTCATCATGTCAAGACATGGAGGTTCAGCATCCGTCGCCAGCAAGACAGGGTATCTCACAAGACCAGTTTCGACCCTGTGGAGGCTGAGGAATGTCAATCAACCAGTCTACCCATTTGGGCCGGGGTGTCTCCTGTTGGTCTTGTCGTTTGCAGAGATGCTCCCACTGCAGGTGCGCAGTGCTTTGTCCGCTCGTGCCGATTTAAGCAGCAGCAGGAGTCCTCAGAAGGGTGGAATGAGAGCGATGCACTTTTCTGAGGGGAATTGAACCTCGTTCACGCGCATGCTCAAACTATACCCAGTTGATCCCAGTTGCCTATTATATAAGCATATAAGTAAATAAATATAATAAGGAACCACGGTTTTCGGGTCTACTGTTTTAAGTCTTTGGAACCATTGGTTATTTGCTAATAGAGGTAACTGGATCCACTGGGATACCTATAAGGGACCTTCAACCCCTAGCTCCGGTTGGAAGAAACACTGCAAATTGATTTCCCCAAAAGGTAAAACCAACGGAGAACTCAGCATGTGCTCTACGGATGCGTCCAACCGTCTTTCGGGAGAACTGGGAGACTCGCGGGGGAACCGACGACGCGGTGTCGGTGATGTGGTGATGTCTTCTGCCAGGCCAGGAGCTCACGTGAGTGGGTTCGCAACTGGCGCCGTTCCTCCATTGCTGCATGACAAATCAATAGAGGAGAGGAGGTGTAATAACATGCTCGGCGTTTGGAAGTGCCGATCCAGTGAGAACCCCCTTATTCTCCCGGGGCCTCGTGTTGCCGCCCCAGGAGTCAAGGAGTCAAGAGACCGTACCCCCGGTTCCCACGTTTAGCAGCTTCGCCGGAGAGCAAAGGAGGAGCCCAAAACTCAGAACAAGTTGAAGCGGGATGAAGAAGGTTTGAATTTTGGTGGGGAGCCTCAACCAATAAGTGTGCCAAAGGGTGTTGGTTTCCATACACACCCAAGAATACCTCAACGACGAGAAGGCAGAAAGCTGGGCAGAAGATCGACGAGCCTACGAAGCATGTCGTCCGTGGGTAAATTTGATGAGGACTCCCCAGGGAGGAGCTTCGACTTAGGTGCCATACTGGTGCCATCCAATTACAATTGGACCCCGCAAGCATCTCTGCCTTGCAGCACAAAATGGCCTGTTTGGATGTCAACAAAGTTTGCCTAGACACCTTGAAGATCCTTGAAGTGACTGTCTTAACCCAGACACTCCATGGGACTGGTATATTTACATTAGGTATATTTACATTGGGGTGGTTTGTTTGAAGGGTCAATGGGGCCGCCATGACAGACATGAAGTGTCTGGGTATACGGCCAGCACCTCAGGCCAATTTTTGCCTGATGCACCTGGACACAGACATACACAGACCAATTTTGATTGCAGTATGCCGCCCCATGCACAGATGAAGAGCGAAGGATTGCTCTCCTTCGACAACTCGCATGTAAAAGGCACAAGGCATGAATCGGCATGATGTTTTTTCAGCCCTCTATGTAAAAGCCCCCTCTATGTAAGACGCATCACAAGAATCATGAAACGACTCAAAAGGACTCAGGGGAGAACACCGAGAACACAGCCAGTTTCGTTCTTGTAGGACGCCCCTGCTCGTCCAGCCCTCAACCACCTAAGCCCTCATGGTTGGAGCCCTAGGGATGATAAGGCTGAACCCCACGATGCGCGAAAGAGCAACGAACCCCGGACTTGGATACACTCGAGGCGACTATGCTGGTCTTACGGCCTTGCACCATGCAGCGTCGGGGGGCCTGGTGCACGCGGGAAAAATCTGACACGGTGCAATGGACGAAGTAGATACCAAGACCCAAACATGATCGTATATGATTATACAATATTATACATTGATCCCATTATACATTGACCCCTGAAACCACCCTAATGCAGGCATATATTATTCCATAGATTATGGTCTCGACAACACCCTTACTGTATAGAGAGAGAGAGAGACTGAGAGTATGATGATGTTCGGACTTGGACAGTGGAAATGGCTCCATTGACTGATGATGTGCCTTCTGCATCAACAACTGAAGCTCCACAATTGTTCCTCTAACAACGTGTGGTAGACAACATGACTATGGTCGACCTCCATGAGCAGGAGCTGAATTGGTACAATGCAGAACGATGCCAAGATGAAGAGGAAGCTTGGCAGCGCGATGGCTGGGTGCAAGATCAGAATGGGTGGTGGCACGTGGCACCCATCGGCCAGGGGACAAGACCAATCTGGTGGGCAGAACCCCCCCCATTGCAGCGATGTGTCTTGGATGCCTGCGCTGTTGTCTAAGACGTTTGTGTGATTGCTGTGGATTGAGGGGCGGACTTTGATGATTGACCTGGCAGACTGATGAGCAGCTGGAGGTTGATGATGATGGTGAGACAAGAAAACATCAGCTTCCACTGCAGCGGAGAGCCACTTCAGTGCCTCTCGTTCCGAACCACCTTAACGTTCGCCCCTAGTAGCGCAACGAAAAGACATTCGCCTTTCTCAGCGCGCTTGGTCGGATCGCTTGTTCAATGACATCCAAAAGGTACCAAAAGGCCATGTTGTCATAATGTTGTCGGGATTTGATGAAGTTCTGTGCCGATGATGTCGAGGACATTCGGACATTAGAATTAAGAGATACTTGGCGACAAGTGGCAGATTGAGCTGATCAGCATGTGTACCCCAGCTCCGAAGAAGAGAACTGGACAGACATCGATGCAACGAGGTTTCTGGCTGTTTTCTTCCAGACATGGTCGCACTGACTTGCACATCACAGGAATCCTTATGACCTTGTTGGAGCTGACGGTCGGCAGGACACTGGTCGCACAAGGCAACACCGACCTGTGTGGCGAATTCTCAGAGTATCTCAGCACCGACCTGTGTGGGATTTCGGCCACCTTCCCTCGCAAATGGGAGTTGTGCCTTCCTTGGTGCGAGCTGTCCATTGGCTGTCCATCGACCGGAGCAGGCAGTGCCTTCCTTGCGAGCAACCAGTATGACCCAGTTGTTTTTTTTGTGTGTCTTTGTTCATTGATTACGATTTCTTATCATTAGGTGTCCCTACTGTCAAAGCAAGAGATCTAGCATAGCTTTTAGGGACGGGCAAGCATTGCAGCATTGAAAACACCATTGCATACCATTGCTACCATTTACTACCCATAATAATATAAGATCCCATAAGACAAAACATCCATGTAACGCCTAGGGCCAAGCCTGTTTGATAGACCCCCATCAGACGCATTGTGTGATTGGTGTGCCTTAGGTTTGTTCTATTACCTGTAGCAGTCAGTAAACAGTTATCACCAATTTTCGAACTGTTAGCTCTTATGGACTCCAAAGTCCTGAGGAGTGATTGGGTTTTGTGGAGTGGTTGGCATGCCCTTTTTGTTCCCCCAATTTCTCCAAGTTGGTGCCGTGTTCTCCAGGCTTCGTGGCGATGCTCGGATGGTTCCCTGATTAAAGGATGGGGGTGTGATGGTTCTGACAGAAGGCAGGAATTGTTGTTAGTCTTGTTCCTATGAGATCACGATTTTGTTGTTTTTTCTTTTTTTGGGGGGGCAAAGCGGGTAAAGGCCTTTACTAAGGCCTTGAAACTAAACTTTTTTAAGAAATCCGATCAAACATTTGATGCACGCTGAACCGCCAAACCGCGGGTCCTTTTCTGGAAATCCAAAGTAGTTTCCGAGGGAAAATCCAGTCGGATAAGTTTCTAAAGGTGATCCAGTTGGGGTATTGGGTTGCTTTTTTAGGATTGAGCCAACTGTATCGGATGTTCTTGAAGTGCTCAACTGTATCAGCAAAAGCAGGGGTTGAGCCATTCGATCCCTTGAAGATCCACCATGCGTTCTCAGATGGTACTTGTAAAAGTATCTCCAATATTCTCCCTCATCGACATGTATTCAGCCAATGGTTGCAAAACGGATGGGCCAGCGCGGATGACCGCTCAAGAGAGCGTATGGCAGAACATGGTGGGTTCCACCTGAAATCCCTCCCACCACGGTCCTCACACGTGCGTTGGGATGCATTGAGATTCTTCAGTACTGTAAGGATCGGTAAGCAGCTGGGCAAAAACCTCATGTATGAAACCACGATGACCGAATTTGCGTTTTCAATATGTTTTGCGCACTCCAGGGAGCCCGGGCTCTGAGATCCAGTTTCCAAAGACGTTTAAAAAAATACGATTAATGAACTTTGATGAGGTGAGGTCTATGTGAACAAAGAACACCAAGATCCATTCAAGTCTATATGCCTTCTCAGCAGGTATATACGTGGACCCTCCAGATCAAAAGTGTCTCGAGATCCTCACCCTCTCAGAGGGTGGCAGTGGATCCATAGGGAATACCCATTGGGATCCACACTTTGAAACCATTGCACAGAAGGGTCGAAGTCGACTGATCCGAAGGTTGAGCTGTTGGCTTTGCTGAAGGCCGATGTCTCGGCTCAGGACAAGCCACTAGGCCTCACCTGAGTGGGCGCCATCGTCAGGGACAAGGCTTGAAAGCTAGAAGAATTGTTGTTTGAGCATGGCCCAATGGCCTTTTGGCTTCACCATTCTTTGCATACCTCAGCTCAGCTCAACCACAACAAGGTCTACGAACTTTAATAGAAGAAGAGGCTCAGTTCAATGCAGTGCCGGCTGTGTTTCTGGGCCCGTCATCCAGCCCTGCTTGAAATACCAATGGCGATCTAAAAGGGAAATCTGAACGTCGTTGGTACATGTTGGTACCTGATAGTTTGGGCTCTATTTGCCAGAGCACCTACTGAAGATGTTCCAGAAAGTCTTGTCCCCCGCTGATCATTCATGGGTGTTGTGTAAGTAATTGTAAGTAAATTCTCATGCATGGAATAGGGAAACCCTCCAGTTTGACCCCCCTTTTTTGAAGGACAATAGACCTGTTTACCCACAGGGTCTATTTGGGGTCTCCTCATGTAGTTACACCCCACAGCTATGCACTGCAAGAGCCTGTGCGACCTCCCCGAGTTAGGAGACCAATCCCTTCCATCGTTGGGTCCACCACCACCAAGTCAATCTGGTTCACTCTGGTTCATTGGCTACTTCACGTCTTTCTCCTGGTTTATATTGGATGCACATCGATTTGTGCTCTTTCTGCCACGTTTCACTGCATTTAATCTAGTTTAGTGGGACCCGAGGCCATGAGAGTTCTTTGGCGATGTGGGGGGAAAGAAAGCGATTCCCGAGGACTGAGTTGGTTTGTAGTAGACAACAAAGAATGATAAACAATTTATTTCTCTTCAGAAAAGAGCATATCCAACCTGCGACAGTATATGTACTGTATACACAATATATTATTGATCTCAGCCGATTGAAATTAGGAAACCATTCATTAGGCAAGTGTTTGCACATGTTACTGTATTTACGCGGGCTAAAAACTTACAGCTTACATCACCCACAAAGTAAAGGCACCCTCCTTGAGCCAAAGAAACGGGTATATAGTGAGAAGTGTAAGTCCCTTACTGTGCAGAAGCTACGTTCGTCAAGAGTTATGATTGCAAAAGACACAACACACTTCGAACTTGGTTTTCAGTTAGACTCAATTGCCACGTTGGGAAGAATGGCGATGGAACCGTAAGGTGGAAGAGTCAGATCACTTGAATTGTTGAACAAAAGTTTCACTCGCACGGCTGACGGTAACTCTCACGCGGCTGAAACGTGCGGTGGGAACCTGTTGTTTGGGGGGAAGTAGCATGAAGGACAACGAATCAAAACGTGGAAAGTGGTGTCACAGCTTGGAAACAGTTCTTGTTGCAGGTACAAGAGCCGGCGTCCCAGCTCTCTTCCAACTGATTTCCGTAGCTTCGTTGGCACGGATGGGAAATCAGTCTCCGTGCCCCCTGCTTCAGTGGAAAAAGGTGAGAACATGGAAAACCCTTAGAAACAGGGTGTGACACACACACACACACAACACACACACATTCTTTCTGGTTGAACCTCATGCGGAAGATTTCGCCGAGGAATGCCACCACACCTTTACACTACGCGGTGCAGCTCTCACATGTGCAGGCTAGGCTGAGGGACACCGCAGCTATCAGATAGCAGTGGGTGAGTATGCATGGGGGAAGATGGTTCAGTCGTTAAAGAGTTGATGCACTTCCGAAAATACACTATGAGACTTGCGTGCTCTTGTAGGCCAAGCCCTGCGGGGTGAAATGTTGGTGAATGAGAAAAGGCACATGGTAGGAACGTTTTTTTAATCTAAGATGAAGTAGATGTAAGGCTGCTCAAATGCCGGCGAATCAGAATACATTTGTTTTGGTGTACACCCTCCCTCCAACAATCATGCAAGCTGACCAGTACCAACTTGTAAAGGAATGGCTGGTCTTCCAGGGGCTGATTTACGTTCCGCTTGCATGATTCTTTCTGGATATAAGGAGGTATGCGCGCATATTCTGCCCATTTTATGTTGGTCGGATTTCCGTTTGTCCAACCAGTGGACCCACCCTAAATATCCCATACAATACACTCCATGGGACTGCCATATATGCCTACATTGACCCCCCTGGCACCACCCCAACTGATCGGCATATATGGCAGTCCCATTAGTCGTGTCTGGGTCTGTGTCTCTTCCGTTTCTCGAGCCAAGAGGGCTGGGAAGACCCGGGTCTATGCCGCCACGGCCGAGACCAACCAGGTGCTTCGAGTCTTGCTGGCCGCCCAGTGCAGCTTGGAAGTCCAACTGCTCCAGGGCCCTTTTGGCAGGCGGAGAGTCCTGCGGAGAGTCCACTGGAGACATCCCACGCGGAGAAGAGCGGAGGGAGGTGGAAACATATGACTCATCGCCGAGGTGGTCAACGGCTAATCCGTGTTCCAACAGAAAACACACATGAGTTGCAACAAACCCCACATTGACGGTTCAGTGGTGCAACCATTCAGTATCAGGGATTTTCTCTCAGGTTTTGGCTGTAGCTCACATGAGGCCTGGAAGCGTCGTTTTGATGACCATCTTGTGGATGTGTGCTGTTGACACCAGGCATCACAGGGCCTCTCCCCGGGTTGATCTCATTGCAGATGAGATGGGGGAGATAGTCATTGTTCGCTCGAGGTAGAGTGGTGTGTTTGGGCAGTTTGCCTTAGCCCCACCCTCTTTATCATGAGTGTGTCGTTGAAAACGATGTGGGGTTCCAACAGAGGTTGAAGAACCCTATAATTAGACTTATAATGACTTATATAATCTTATATAGACTATCCCCATAGGTATATGCCCCAGGTGATGGGTCCAGAGGGATGCTATATTGCAATTAATTGCTACAATAAGAAAGTTGTTCATGGTTGTTCACCATTTTTGAACGTTTGGCTACAGATCTTAGAGCTTGACTGCTTACAGAACTTTGCCCTAGCCGTCAAGCTTCAGGCAGCTTCATCTTGCCTGGGTTCAAAGCACGGTCCACACACTAGAAAACCCCAGAGTAAAATTGTACAACAGAAGGGAAGGATCCGAGAACGAGACATATGAGAAATATATATATGAGAAACCATTGTTGACCTTTCCCTATGGGAGAATCCCCTTGTGAGGGATCTATGTTTTCATGTTGAGCTGGGTCCTTAAGCCAATCCAAGTATCCCAAAGCAGATGACAGTCCGTAGATGCAAACACCACGGAAGTCTCGGGCCAGATCACGTTGACAGTTCTGTGGGTACCAACATGGTTTGCAGCAAGTGCGGCATGATGGTGGGACGGCATTCAATGAAACCACCACACTCATGGCATACTGCCTTATTAGCTCGACGCACTGGCTCTTGCCGCAATGTTGTTGTTCAAAACTTTGTGGTTTGATGCATGATATTTGTTCAAAGGTTTAGAACCAGCTTTCCTTAGGTTTGTAGATATGTGACATGTGCAAAATATAGTCGACAATGCAAACCTGGCCCGATAGATACCGTCAGACTGACCTTTTCAACCTCAGTGTTAGCCTTGATTCCTTGATACTTGCGACCCTTTGTATTTAATTATGACTTTGGACTTGCAAGTTTTGAAATGTTTTGATTTCTTGAGCCTTTATATGAACTTCAACCTCGGGGCTTGAGGTGTGTCCGAACCGGAATTGGGTAGCAGTGACTTGACTTAACTAGTCTCCCAGCTGGGCTCCCCAGGCCGCCATCAGAGCCCCAAAAATTCGACCAGAAAGACATAATGTTCGAGAAACTATTCAGGGTGTGGGAATGTTTGTGCGAAACTGTTTATTATTCCCTCCCACTTGACTAATTAGGATTCGACCGTGTACCAGGCTGCCATCGAAACGCATGCAACCCAAGAGTGTTGCCATCGCCAGGATGCACTCCCTTGGATTTGGCCATCGCCTCAAGGGCAGCTCCAGATCATTGAAGATCGGCGCCAGTGGATTCGTGTGGCTCCCAACATAGGGTACATCATGATACAGCCAGCAGATGCCTGGATAATGTAAGAGAATTAGAAACCTGGAATAGATATATAATATTATATACATTGTTTGGAAGTTGGGGGTAGGTTGAGCAGAACACTTACAGTAATTTAAAGAGGCATGTGCAGCAGGTAGAGGTTGTGTTGATGCGCCCCAAAAGCTGGCCATAGGATGGCAACCGCGGTACGAGAACAGATCCAGCAGCATGATCACTGAATAAGAACGGCTGAGACGTCCATAGATACTACAGATCAACCTTATCAGGGATGAATAAAAAGCATTGGCGTGGCAGACCAGTGGGTTTTCCTGTCAGTTCACGGACCAAGTAAAAACAAATACTCTCAATTCTATAAGTGTAATCCAATAGACTTTATCTTTGGTGCATATGATAACAACTTCCCAGCATCATCATCAAAACGTCCTGGTTGTTTGTGTCTCATCATGTTTGTTGGCCCCTTGACCAAGGCGCGAAGGATCTGCCAAAGCCCAAATTCAGAAGTGCGCGGGACGCGCTAGGACGTCCGCGCGACACACAATAGCACCGGCACCGGCGGTGGCCGCCCAGCCATGCAGCCAGCAGGGGGCTGGGACATGTGAACTCGCTGCCGCTTGGAAGGGACGTCTATCAATAGGGTACTAGTAGGGATAGGCGTTTGTAGGCGGTCTTTTTCGAGTAGGACAAATAGGAGAGAGATGCAAATAGGCGAGAGTGGGTGTGGCAGTGGTGCTTGTTAGGTGTTGTGGTGATAGTTGTTTTGGTTGGTGCTGTGAGTGTGGTGGTTGCTGTGGTTTATCGTTTCGTGGTGGTTGTTGTTAGATGTTGTTGCTGTTGTGGTTGTTTGTCGTGACCAGAGACAAGCAGAAACAGAAAATGCCAATTATGCAAGGCGACTTGGGCAGCATAACTCGCGTTTTGGTGCCATCTTGGGCCATTTTGAATTGAAGGAGTGGCTATACATCCATGCTGGGGAGCCGGCCGGATTCGGGGAATGCGATCCAGCCCTGAATCGTTGGACTTGGGTCCATGAAGAGAGTGAACTCATCCATGCAACATGCATATGCAATGGCATGGTCCAAAGTTTCACAGTTTTTCATTTTTGATTACAGAAACGATCCGGTCGCACGCCTGCATTGCAAATACGATGGAGGACACCAGTCCGACACTGGAACAGCCTGCGGCTCCAACAGAGCCTGCTGCAAATGCAGCTCCAACAGAGCCTCCGGCTGCCGACTGCGTGAGCCCGCTTCTTTGGGCCCGGTTCTTCCAGAGAATGAGCCGGCAGACATGGGCGACATGGGCAATATGGCCGCCATGGAGGCGGCGGATGCCATGTTGGCGAGCTTTGACCCTTGGTGCGGAGGCTGAAGCATTTGCATTACATGCAAAGCTCTGGGAGAGAGGTGTCAAAGGCAGAGGTGGACAAGCTGGAGGATCTCATAGACAAGAAGATCCAGTGTAGGACCCAGGCATAGTGGCGCTTTCAAGCCTGGAAACGACTGAAGGAAAAGTCTGCCAAGTGTGCACAAGACAAGATGTGCACCGATCTTGCCCTTTGAAAGCCTACAGCTCCAGCTCCAGCAAAGGCAGCAGCATCTCCAAAAGGTCCACAGCCACCATTGCCGAAGGATGGCGGGGTCAAGGTGAAGGCAAAACCAAGGCCTCCTGTGCCAGTGTACAAGCCAGCGACCCAAAAGGTGGCTGAGAGGATCCCTTTTGGGAAAGGAGCTACGCTCTCCCTGCTCAAAAGCACCGGAGCAGACGGAGGCCGCCGGCTGCCGGCCTGTATTATTTGGTTCTTGGAGATGGTGGTTTGGAGTGGTTCTGAGAGCCACAATCAGAACAGGCTCCCAAAAGGGCCCTGGGTACTGATGTCAGACTTGCATATTAACCGAGGCCATTAATCCACCTGGAGAGGCTCAATGGGAGTGGACCATTTCAGTTCTGAATTTGGCTGAGGGAACCTGCGCAACCTTGATCACGACGGTTCCCTGCAAACAAGTTCCCTGGATGTGAAGAAAGCATGTGATTGAGCAGACAATTGCCCGGAGTTTTCTCTGCTTTTTTCTTTTGCGGGAAGACCACCTATATGACAACAGATCGTATTCATACAATGTTCCTAAACTCAGACAACTGCGCCCCTACATTGTAGTTTAGTTTGCAAACATGATTGTCATTATATATAATATATATATATATATATATTGAGGGGGTGTCTCTGCAAATGATTCGCTGTTGTCACACAACCGCCAATTTGGCACGCATTCGCCTGGCCAGGTACTTCAACTGTTGGAGGTCCCGAATTGGCTGGAGACACGTTTTTTCCGCAACCTGTGTTCGACCCCCTGGAAGGGTCGGAATATAGACCAGTCTACCCAACCAGGGCCAGGGCTGCTTCCCTATATATGTAGTTATCAAAGTTCACACCCACCCGGTCCGGTTGTTTCGTTGGGTACAATCCAATCCTGCATCGGTTCTTGAACTGGTTGATTTTGATTCGGTGAAGGCGTTTCATGATCAGAAGAACAGACATATTTGAAGGACTTTGTGTGTCTTTTTTCCCATGTGTTGTCCTTGGGAGTGTCCGCAACACACTCACTCGCACTAGCGGAAGCTCGCCCTGTCCCTTTTTGAGTCGAACCCTTGGAAGCAGCTGTTACGAACATGGCCAAAACTCCTTTGGTGTGGAAGAGATTCAAGAGGGCAAACCAGTCTGTTGTTTTGTCTCTCCCAATTCCCCCATGTTGGCTCAGTTTGTGTTGACAAGTTCATCAAGTCCCAATTTCAGTGAGGGTGGTCCACGGCGGGGTTACCGAGTGTTTACGCAAGAACTTGATGCTATGCTAGACCGCTTGAAACCCTCAGTTCACGAAATGACATTGCAATCTGAAGTTTGGTTTGGTCAAAGTCTCCGTCAATGCACCTAAGGACTGTTAACGCCTGGTTTGGATAACACTCGTCTTTTCAATATGCATTCACCTCTTTCAAGACCAGGCTTTTGTTATATGGCCTTTAACATAAAAAAAAAAAAAAAAACATCACGAATGACAATTTAAAGGCCATAAGATACAATGGCCTCAGATGCGATCCTGCTGAAACATGGTCGTTCACAGCCAACGGCGCACCGCCGAACTGAATGCAGCAACGCCCAAGATGCCTCTGTACTCGTGAGACCAACACCCGGTATACCGTGATGGGATCACCGGGACCGGTGCTCTGGGTGTTCGTTGGTTGACCGAGACCCGGATGGACGGTGAGGAAGCGAAGATCAAGCAGCGAGGTGGAGATGGGGTCACCGGACATGGACATACACGGTCTCCAGACAGGGCACCTCTTGAAAGCGCGTTGGGCACTGGGCACTCATACAAATGTGGCACCGACAAATATCTCCAGGTATGATCCTATATGCACCTCTGGACCTATCCATATTCTAGAGTCTATAGTCTATATCTCTGCATATATGTTTATCCAAAGCGTCTTCGAGACGCTCCGAACGGCTCACATGGACTCGACATAGCTTCTGATGTGAACATCTCGTTAACTCGTTCCGTCCGCCACGAACAAAGACATGATGTCCCTCCCTGGACCCTTCAGGTCGTCGTACCGAAACAATCATCGAGACGTGACGTGACGGTTCCGCTTCAGGTCGAAGGTCGGTTTCCCGGTGGACCCTGCGGTGGTCTGGACGTATACCTGGAGTGTCAGCTACTTTGTATGAAAATAGGTAGTGACAAGTTATAACCTGCTTTTTATGGGGTCATGTCCCATTTTCAAAGGTACGTTTGGATGGTCCAGGTCCGTCTTTGGGGGGCTCTTGCTTATGGCGAGCGCCTGCCAACCATGGCGAGCCTCACAACCAATCCATCGAAGGAAGCTTACCGCCACCCATGCCTCGAAGGATGCACCTTTTTGCAAGTTTCCTATTGTTCCAACCCAAAGTGTTTCTATGCCCTAGTGGGCTGGCGTTTCTATGCCCTAGCTGGCACAATTGGTCGATGAATCGATTGAATGTCGTCATAGATGGATTGAGATCAACCAATTTATGGATCGACATCTAACATTTGAAGGTGATTGTCACATTGGGACTGATTCACTAGCTGCGAAATCTTCACTCAGTGCCACGCATGGCTTCGCTCCCTACCCGGACCCGCCAGGGGAGAAAACCGGAGCGCTGTCCGCGCGGCGCCTGGCCTGGCCCCGTTTCCGGCGGAGGTCACCGTGACAGCGGCGGGACAGGCGCGGGACCTGGACCTGGGTGTTCCACACCGGCTCGGGTTGGGCCGAACATTCGCATGCCGGTGGAGTTGGGCGGACTCGTTGGAAAGGAGTTGTGTTTAAATTTTGAAATCCCAACCATTTGCTCACTTTGAGTTCGAATTTGTGACATGTATAATGATGTAGATATATATATATATATCTTATATAATATATATAGTTTAAGCATTGATGAATATTGATGATACCTTGGGTCCTGTACCTTGCCATCCAAAACCGGCCTCCCGGATCCACGCCTGCCCAGGGGGAGCAAACCTCCGAAGATCGACGACGAGGTTCGGGCGCCACCGGAAGGGTCTACGGTGCCACCGGGTGAGGTCATTGATGTGTATATGTTCTCGAACCGCCCAGGCCAAAGTGGTTTTTGTCACTGTGTTTTGTTTTGTTTTTTCTGGACAGTAAATCCAAGTAGTACTGTAAAGCAAGCCTGTATATTTGCAGGATTTTGCAGTATATATACTTAAATTATACTTAATAGTTCCCAATTTGTAATGTTTCTTTGTACAGTTGTTGGGTTTATTTCCTTAAGTGCTAAAGGTCTTTCACAGAAGTGCCACGGTGTGTACAGTAGTTGATGCAACAAAAAGGCGCCAGATGTCTCCTTTTCTGACACAACGGTCGGCCGTTTTTGTTTCATTGCGAGGGTCATCCAAGTGCCAGTTGCGTTGAACATGCGATGAACAGCAAACATCAGCGCAGTCATGGTTTCTCTTCGTGCTCACCAGCGCAGGCTTCGGGAACTTGAGCCGTCTATTCTTGTCGGCTTGATGTGTCCCAGCGATACTATCAATGAGTCTTTCCCGCACTGGTAAGATGTATACATGTCTGATCAAGCACTCAGAGATATTCAGAGGCTCTGCGGCTGGAACGCATCCAAAGCCTTGGCAGAAACGTTGAAGTGGCTGGACTCTCCAGTTCATAACACTCACTATAATACTCTAGAAAAAGGAACAAACAACTATAATCATGTAATATAGTGTACTTGTGTCCATATTCTTAGCGCGACCTGAGACTCCAGGTCTTTCTTTCACACCTTCCTCGGGCGGGCGCCGTCGCCGACCCCACCGGCGCCTTCCTCGAGCCATTTGGGGCTCAGCCGGTTCAGCCGCGTCTCACGGCGTGTGGCCCGTGAAAACGTCGGCGCCATGGGGGGAGCCTCCTCATTTATAGCGATGATGGTCGCTTGGTACGAAGGTCCAACTGGATACGAAGGTCCAACCCGGGCCAACCCGGGCCAACTGGTGGAAGGAGGTGGAAGGAACTTCGGATGTTCCTCAAGACAGCCCTTTTTCAAACGTGTCTTCTGGGTTTATGTCTTCAGGAGGGGGGTGTCTGTTTGGGCGTTTCATTCACTTGTAACAACCTGGTCAGATGGTCCAGGCCAGGCTCGGGTCGACTTTGCCCCGTTGGATGTGTCAAACCCAAGGGCGTTGGCGAAAACGTCAGCACCTGCTGTCGTGATGCTAGAGTTTCTATTATAGTATGAAATTCGTGGATTAGTATGTTTTGTGGATTATGTTGATTCTGGTTTGTGGATTAGTATGGAATTAGTGCTACTCTTTGGACATGTTTCTTCATTTTTCTGTGGCCAGAGAGTGTCATTGACCACTTCATTATGTAGTTGATATGCAAAGCTTCAACAGAAGTCACTTAGACTTGGAAAGAAAAAAACGAGGTCATCTACGTTAAGAACAACAGCACCACCGAATTTTGGTGTCACGGAGTCTCCCAAATAAGCATCTCAGCTGTCCACTGCCCACAAACACTTGTTGTTGATTGCTTTTATGTCCGTTCAATGAACATGAAATGCCTGAACTCCAATTCCTAATCAATGTGGAGGCAGTTCAGTTCAGATAGACGTTGATTCCATGCCTTTTGTGCTTTGGTCTTGGTAGTTGGGTGGTGTTTTGGTGTTTTTTTGGGGTCGGTTCCTTTTATGTTTCGGTTTTGGTAGTTGGGTGGCGTGTCTCTCTCTCTCTCTCTATCTCTCTCTGGTTGAATTGACAGCGTGCAATCCCGCTTGTCATGTCTTTGGGTCATATACACAGAAACACCCCCGGTATACCTCTTTTCATTCATGAAGGGCGCAGTATACCTCCACGCTGTCTTCATCGCCTTCGTTCACACGTTCTCACACGTTCTCACGCCACGGTATACGGTGAGGCCATCACGGGCTTCCTCTCGGCTTCTTGGATCGCCACCAAGATCTCCCAGGTCGGAGTCCACGTCCGAGGTGTTTGGCTCGGGGTGTGGGGTTGGGTGGCTTTGGTGGACTAAAACCATAGACTGAACGAGGGCCCCTGGTTCCTCATTATATATCTCTAGAGGGTTTGGTGGTTTGGTGGATTCAGGTGGATTTCTTTTGGGAGGTGGACAACCTGGGGGTTGCCCCGCCAAGTTGGGCATAGATGCAGGTGAATCCACCTTATAGTGGGGAAGAGAGTGGATCAGTTTGTTTGGTTTCACAATTCCAAGTCCATGATAGGCCATGCAGAAGTTGATATTTGGATGCAATTGGTAAACCAGCTAACTGGGTGTATATATGGAGTGTTTGGTCGAGTTCAGCTACAACAGCTTGATTCATGGAATTGCCATGGCACTCAGCAGCCATGGTTTGATTCGAAAGTCCAACGAGGATGGGCCATGTGGGTGAGGCCTTCCAGTGAGTCAGCCTGAGTCATGGGCGGCAGTGTGGAGTCTAAGGGGGGGTCCCAGGGGTTTTGGTATGTTTTGGTATAGTATCCCTAGCCTTTAGTTCATGTAGCTTGACCATTACCAGAAAGGTTGGGCTGGTTTTAACCTAACTCCACCTCTTGAACTATTTTGGTCGACTTATATACTCAGAACTGACGTGAACTAATTCCATGTTGCAATATGTTGCATTTTT